GACTTTGTAGTACAACTTTAGTACGCGGAGTAGCTGGGGAGCTGGAAGATGAGAACTGGCGACTTGGTAGTACAACTTTAGTACGCGGAGTAGCTGGGGAGTGGGAAGATGAGAATTGGCGACTTGGTAGTACAACTTGAGTACGCGGAGTATCTGGGGAGCTGGAAGGTGAGCACTGGCGACTTTGTAGTACAACTGTAGTACGCGGAGTAGCTGGGGAGCTGGAAGATGAGAACTGGCGACTTGGTAGTACAACTTTAGTGCGCGGAGTATCTGGGGAGTGGGAAGATGAGAACTGGTGACTTGGTAGTACAATGACTTGGTAGTACAACTTTAGTACGCGGAGTATCTGGGGAGCTGGAAGATGAGAACTGGCGACTTGGTAGTACAACTTGAGTACGCGGAGTTTCTGGGGAGTTGGAAGATGAGAACTGGCGACTTGGTAGTAGAACTTTAGTACGCGGAGCAATCTGTGGAGCTGGAAGATGCGAACTGGCGACTTTGTAGTACAACTTTAGTACGCTTCATTCCAGCTTGCTTTTTTCAGTGAGATTTCCTGGAGGCGTGCACGCTGCTTCTCCCCTTACCAGCAGCCCAAATGCTCACGACGATGAGCTGGGCTGTACCGCTTGGCCGCCGGTGGGGGGTTTGGGAGGCCTGCGCGCTAATTCCTTCACTATATGTACAGTGAAGACCTTCACCAGCAGCAGACATGGACATACACACACAGACAGGGACTCATACACACACACACACATCACACACAGAGACCCACGCACTGCCTCAACTTACTCGGACACACACACAGACAGAGACTCATATACACACGGACATAGATACACACACAGAGACCCACACACTACCTCAACTCACTCGACTTAACACTTCACACTGCACACTTAACAGATAACTCGCACTCTGACTTCCTACGTGATGAAAAATGCTTTCGGGCCACTCGTCGTCTAGTTATACAAAATGCAGGGAAGGTTGCATGACGGAAGTTCCCTGTCTTGATTTGCAGTGTTGGCCTCAAGGGCTTGTCCAGGCAATTCCAGGCCAGATCTGTCAAAGTTGACTTTACACAGTTTGGACCAATTCTTGCTTAGCTTGGGGTGAGGGATCCAAACGAAGATAAAGTAAGAATAGCATTGATAAAAGAAACATTCGACGGGGAGCAAGAGGACAAAACAGGGGATCAAAAAGACATATTCCTAGCGAACAATGAAAGGACTAGGGAAAGGACAACAGCAGCAGAGCTGGCGACCAAAGGGCCGTGAAAGGATGTTTGCAACACATTGCAGCCCATAATTTTAAAAAACTGACTTAGGCGAGGGCGTGCGATAGTTGATTATATTTATTTGCTGTGGATATGCGATGGGTGACCTTTAAAAGGTCGGCCGTGGCAGGCCCAGTGCATTGGCAAAAGTCGTGCACATTTTGTGGCGCTGGAGCGGGGTTGCAAACTACAAAGCCACCAGACTCTGAAGGCACCACAGAATGCATCATCACCGAAAAGCCTTGTTGCCCCATCAATGAGGGCTCACCCACCACAGGATAATGAAAGGATGCTTGCAACATCTTGCAACGCATCAACACAAAATCGAAAAGACTTAGGCGAGCGCGGGCAATATTTTTGTGAATATGCGACGGGTGCCTGGTGACCTTTAGAACATCTGCCGTGGTAGGCGCAGCGCATTGGCAACAGCAGTGCAGATTTCGTTTCGCTGGAGGGGGGTTGGGGGCCTCCCATGTCATGATCAGGTATGGAAGCCAGGTGGAGTGTGCTCGCTGTCATGGCCGTGGCGTGTTTGTCAATGGCGTCCTGAGTTCTGCAAGTTGCGGCAGCGGTGTTCTCACATCCCCTCCCATATCATCTGGGAGATGCTTTGCTAGAAGCACCTCATGGCACTGGAAAAGTCACGAGCAAAAGACACATGTGTTTAACACATACAGTAACATTATGTGAATGATTTAAAAAAGTCTTTAACATCCATATGCAGTGATGTGCAGCTACCCCACCAAGCAATTCAAGGTTTCGTGAGCCTTCGGCCTTCAGTGCAGGATCTCAGGTCCCCCGGCCAGGGAGGCGAAAAGGGATATGATATTTCATGCTCTAACATACACATTTTTCTTTGTTGCTCTCGCGATATGCGCAGTCACGATAATCAGAACACTTCAGAACAAGCTTTCCTCCAGTCCCATGGCCTCAGCTTCAATTTGACATGCAAGCTCTCGTGTTGGTGCAAGCACGCAAAGCTGCGGATAGCGGCTCCGGGATTGAGTGATCTTCAGGAAGCCCGGCATGAGAAAGGCGAGGGTCTTTCCACTGCCAGTCTTTGCAATTCCGATCACATCTCTCCCTGCCACACCAATGGCCCAAGTATGAGCCTGGATTGGCGTGGGGGCCGCAAAACCTGCCTCCAGAAGCTTGTGAATAAGCACCTCAGGGAACAATTCCTGAGCTTGTTGGAAGCTAGTGACTGCCGGAGGAACTTGCTCCCCGCTCGGGCCAAAAACATGGACCTGTGCAAACTCTTCGTCAGCTGCAGTCGACCACAAGGCTTCTGCCTCGTATTCTGGCACTACTCCTTGCGAGTATTCCTGCCTCCACCCATACCCCTCAGCATGTTCCTGCTGGTACTCCCCTCCAAACCCGCCGTTGTAAGGAGAGGTAACACCATAGCCGCCACCAAATCCTGTCTGCTTCATCTGATCATGGTAAGTGTAGTTGGCCATTCCATTGTTGCCATAATTGCTACATCCGTGGAAGCCATTGTTCCTCAAGTGGTGTGAAAACATGTGCGTCTTTTGCCACTGCTAGACCACCAAGAAATCTAGGATCACGACTCGTGACTCCAAACATGCAGTTTAGCCTCATACATGGTGCCTGCGCCTGGTACATTTGGTCACTTACAGCTCCTGCACGCTGCATGGTCAAATAGGACCAAGTTGACAAAAACACATTACAACAGCACAAGAAAACAGTCCGTATTGATGCATACCATACCCGTTGATGCCCAAACCTGCATTCTCAAGAAACAACATCGTGCCCGCTAGTCTGTTCTGGTGTGCACCAACAGCTCATGCAGCCTTTCTGCGCGTGTTCTGCGGGCAAAAAGGCTCCAGCCGCTCCAGCCATACCTGCTTGCAAGGCTCAAGAAGCAACCCTCGCTAAAACGCAAGCTAGCGTGGCGGCGAAACATAAATTTTGTTCATACAACCACATGTGTGGGGTGTCATGTCAATCTCAAGCAACACATCACGGAGTATACCGATGCAACTTTGGTCTTTAGGTGGACGCGGACCGGAAATCCCTACCCAAGCAAGCAAGAACGAGGCCCGGCAACACAACACAAATCCACCTATAGGACCTACAGTATATATTAAAACAAAAACGGGACTCAGAAGGTCCTACCCGAGGTGGTCAAAGCCATTAGCTGGCTCGTGTGCCAGTGTGAGAGGGTCCAGGACAATTGGGAGGGAACCTCAACCTTTCAAGGAACTTGTAGAGAGAGAGAGATAGAAAGAGAGAGAGAGAGAGTTGACAAGTGTGGTGTACAAAGCATGGCATATTCCTGGCCAACAAGCATTGCAGATTGCATCGACCAGATTGCTGCCTGCAGAGGTCAGTCGGGCTGCGGGCACACACTTTGCTTCTTTGCTGGTTGATCTGGCCAAATTGTATGACAATGTGGCCTTACAAGCCTTACAACTCATCTGTGAAAGGTGGCAGGAAGCCCGGTTCCCTGCTGGTATCCTCAATCTGATCATTGAAGTTTATGCTGGTCAAAGGATGTTGCAAGGGGAGCAAGCAGTGAGTAGGCCTTGGGCATACTATCATCCACCACAGTCAAGCATGCCCTGCCGAGGCATCATTCAGAGAAGCACCCCGTGGTGTACGATGTGCTCAAAAACCTCGGAGTTGATTCTGGGGGTGGGCGCTACAGAATCTGCAAACGCATCACTACTATGCGGAAGCGGCAACAAAAGGGCAAGCGCTGGTTCAGCAGGCTCATGAGGTCGAAGAATTGGTGTGAACCCTGTAAAAACTCGCCTTTGAAGAGGGTCAGTGCAGGCAGCTATGACGTATGGTCAAGAATCAAGAAGGACAAGGCATTGCTCCTCAAAGAAAGAACCAAATGCGATTGCAGTTGGGCCAGTGGAATGGCCCGCTGAAAGGTGGCAGCCTTGACGTTCTCTGTCACCAGCAAAGGAACTTGCAGGACCCCCTCGGCACAGCGGTCCTGAAGCAGGCTCGTGCCATGCACAAGCTCCTTCGAGCCTGGCCCACCAACCTCCTTGGCCAGCTCAAGAGTGCTGGGAGAACTTCTTGGATGCGGCTTCAAGATGCCGCCGGCAAACAGTTGCTGGACCCATGGCCGCCATAATGCTACTGGCGTGATTGGGGCTACTTGCGTGGTTCGTCCACCAAATCAAGCCCTTCCACCTGGTAGCCTCTGCATTGAGCATCCTTGGCCCTACTTCAAGCGCCAACTCCAGCATGAGATTGCGTGTCTGAAGCGCATACAAAGCATGCCCCTCTTGACTGGAAGCTCTACCATCAGGGCAGCAAGAAAGGTTCCAAGGAAGATCGCACAGCGCTGGCCACTTGGACCCAGGGTTCTCTGCGCACACATGCTCACCCGCAGGTTGAATGTCCTCTTTGTGGTGCCCCTCTGACAGCAGTGCATTTGATCTGGAGCTGCAGTTTCCACAAAGACCCTCTGCCGAAAGCATGGAGACTCAAATTGATGCTGGCACCAGCCTGGAGCTGTGGGCCAAACCAGTTGTGAAGGGCGACGAAGGCGTTGAGTCACTTCGATGCACAGGCTGCTTGGCTGAGGATTGACCCTTGCCACCATGCATCACCACCGTGTGAGCCTGGATGTCGGATCCACGTGCACTGATGCTCGGCTGAAGAGGTGGGTTGTTGGCATTGCCCTTGGGTTGGGAAGATGAGCAGTTATTCCTTTTTGGCACATACAGTGACCTATGGCATAGCATTGGCAGTGCTGCGAATGTACCATGTCAGGCTGAAGCAGTCGGGGCAGGGCACGCGCGGCCATGTGCAGCAGCTGCGCATCAAGGAGAAAGTCAAGCAACGAGTTCAAGATGAAGTTTCAGTTGAGCAGCTGGATGAAAAGCTGACACGCGATGCCTTTCATGCGGAGGTCTATCGGGTTGCCACCAAGCGTGTCAAGAACCTCCTGCAAGACGAGAATCATTTCATGCATCAGCAGGATGGACCTACCACAGTGGTTCAACAAGTGCAACCGACCAAACAAGGGCCTGCTCGTGGTGCTGTCTTTGCTCGGTTGGCTCAACGGGCAAGAGGTTCCGGGCGGCATGTTTGGCAGCATTTCAAGCAAGGTCTGCAGTTTGGGGCTTGTGGCAAGAGAATCATGGCCTGTTCGACACATCAGGACATCCTCGACAAGGATTGCACAACTTGCAACAATGAGAACCCCAAGGACAGGGTGCAGCTGCTTGAGCACATGATCAGTGACACAGCTGGCAACGGAGCATATGTGGCAGGGCATTGATTCGAAGTGCCAAATGCTGGCAACCGTTTTGTCGCAGAAGCCTTGGAGGCTATGGCAGGGTTGCCTTCTGACTATGAAGACCCGGCACAAAGGGGGCCGGGGGGTGTGTCTCCCAGTCAAGTTTGAGTGCAAAGGGTGCAAGAGAAGCTTGGGTTGCGAAGAGTTGCACTTCAAAGCTTGGCTGAGAGCTGCAGCAGTCGGCAGCGCACCTTGCAACCCCAGGCCACCACGTAGGTCTTGGTCGTTGAGTTACAGTAGGGCTCTCAAGTGTGGCCACAAATGTATCGTATATCATAAATATAAACATACATATATTTGTATATATATATAATATCATATATATAATTTTGCCCTGCCGGAGTGCTAGATATGCTGGGCACTACGGGAGGCAGCGTCAGCATTTTGCTGTGCAGCTGACACTTGCTGCTTTTGGTCTGGAAGGCCGCAGCACGTGCGTGGATGGTTGAGAAGTACCGTGAAAAAACAGAGAGAGAGAGAGGCTGGCAAGGCAGCCGCAAAACAGGAAATGCAGCAGCAGCAACGCAGCAGCAGCGGCACCAGCCAGCAGGTGCTTGACTGCAAACAGCCAAGCACCGCACACCACAAGGAGAACGGAGGCAACGATGAGTTACATAACACATTTCACCCCAAGGACGGCCAGGACCTTTACCCAGTAGATCGTGAGCAATAGATCTCATACAATTGATTCTGGAGGAGTTTATAATCCTTCGTAGATTCAAATATTGGATGCTGAACAAGACCCGTAGAAACATACCTAGTCCAAGCAAGTCTGGTGGAAATGGTCAAGACCCTGGAGACCTCCAACAGAGGAAAGGCAGTTCAACAGCTGTTGAGGAAGTGTCCCAGGCTCAATACAACTCCATTAGCACTTTGCAACCCCGAATGGCCTATCCCGACTTCGGTATGAACATTTCAATTTTTCCTCAAGTGTTGAAACTAGAATAGGATTTCACATATCACAAGCAGTTAGGAGGCAAGTTAGCGGATGATGTGAAGTCTGCGGCTGTTGCCTCTCCGACGCTAAGTGGAATGAGCCTGCAGTTCTGACCTTTACCAGCTCGAAACCAATACAAGAAAATCGCAACGGACCAAGACCAATGAGAAAAATGAAAGGACTGTCAAAAAACGAAGTGACGAAGGCAACTAAACTACGTATAGTAAGTTACAGTAAGTAATTACATAAGGCAAAGGTAGGCAGCAGAATCGGTGGAGACGGGCGGACGGAACAACCACAAAGGACAATGAACAAATGTGAGGATACTTCAGACGGCTTTGTCTGCGCCAAAGCACATGGCAAAGGTTGCAAGGGAATACTGGTTTGTGAGGCTGGTTGAGGCACCTTCAAGTCAAATCAACATCGGTTCGACATCTCACGGAGCACAATACATGGTGAAGATCCAGGTGCCGCAAAATCCCCAGCGAGGTCCACAACTGTTGTTTCTAACTTGTTGTTTCTGCCGGGAGAAATATCAAAGTGATGGACAGAAAAACCTGCACCAGCAATGCAAACACACATTGAAGAAAACAAAAAAATATTTCAACCCGACCACCCGGCTACCCCGACAGGCGCCCAACAAGTGCAAGGCGTGTCAAAGAATATGCTACAGTAACATACAGTAACAACTGCCTCCAAGCTCAAAAGCCAGGCGCCTCAAATGGATTGGAGCATTCGCCAGAAGAGCCTAACGCTTGGATCGTGCCACAAGGCCAAAAAGCAAGAAACAAACACCAGCGCAACGCATCGGTTGTACAGGGGGTTATGACCAGCACTTGCAACCCTCGCTGATTCCCAAGCACCGTTGCACGCAGGCCTTCTTGGCAGAATGTGTCCAGCGCAGGCTCTTGAGCCAGGATGCATGACAAGCACACCACTGACTGTGGGTTCAACGCAGCCCACACAATTACAGTAAATCAGCTGGGCGAAAAATTCAAAGTATATAATATATAATTGTTCATACACTTCCATGGAAGTTGACTGCATCGCGCAGCCCTTTTTGTTGAAAGAGGCCTGATGGCCTGTCAGACCTCCCTTGAAGGAGGGACCCCAACCAGAGAAGCGTTGAAAAAGAACAGCGGATCTGTTTTTGGAAGTTTTGCAAACTGTTACTTTGGGGTAAGCCGACCGTCTTGTGATGGAAGCTTGTCGGCCCAAGAGGCCCCCCTTTTTCGCACGTGGGGGCGGTGCCATGGTGCGGTGGCGCTGGAGCCTTCTGGCTCTTGGTTGGGCCTTTGGGCCCAGCGAAGGTTGGTGGCACCCGGCTCCTGACGAGGGTGTCCACCAGGCCAACGAGACCTGCTGGTCCGATCCGCTCCAATGTCTCCAGCAGAAGATGAACACCACGGTCTCATCCGCCCAGCAGCAGTTCGCCTCGCTCACTACGTGGGATAGCATCGTATG